GGGCCTGATGTCCCCAGGGTATGGTTAACCCTCGTGGCTACCAGAGTACACTGCTGACTCACATTCAACTTGCCATCAACCAGCACCCCCAGATCCCTTTCTGCTTTGTATGCTCTCTCTTAAGTTCAGCTACAAATTGTTTCTTTTAAAGAAAGTTTAAGACCTTAGAGGAAAATACAATAGTTCTTTGTACAAATCATTCATACTCCAGATTTTCAAGTTCTCAAAATGTAAACCAGTTTGCTTCATTTACAACGCTACTCCTTCAGTACAGACAGTTGGCTGCAGAATTAAATTCTAATGGTATTAAAGAATACAATATTAATATGTCTGTGTTATCAGTGAGAACCAGTATGACTCACCTGGGGGAGAAATCATTATTGTGTTCATTGATGACTAATACAGTCCTAGTTTTTAAAATCTTTTATGTGAATTCAGACCTGTTAAATCTTTGATACAGGTGCACCTCCTCCTCAGTGACAGAACAAGCATAGCACTGTGTAACGGAATGCCCTGTAATAATTGCACCAATGCACTGAACTTCTAAGGAAAGCAATTACTGTCTTTTCATCAGATTTAGTTCTAAAACAACTACTTCATTAAACTTGTGGCTTTGCCAACTGATTTTTAATTAGCATTATTTCAGAAATGGAACAAAGAGAAGAAAGTAATCATCTACCAGATCACTTTAACCACTCATGCAAGCAAATGCTTGATTGGGATCATTGGTGCTGAGTTTGTTGTAGTAGCCTGCATTATAAGACATCAGAATAAAGACATACTGACTTCACCTTCTTGTTTCCCCAAATAATGAGAAGAATCACGCCAGTCACGTGGCTCACTCCTCACTCTAATAGTTCACATGGTTTCCTGGTTCAGAATAAATCTGAGAAGGCGTATGTTGAAGCCAAAGCTGCTGAGTGACAGCTGTTCGCAATTCCTGACTTCACTGATCTACGTACTATATCTTTAGAACTACATATAATGTTGAAGGCTAATTCTAAACAAACTGAGCTACCACTGTATCAGGTATAAGAAGAGTAAATCCTTAATTTCCGTAACCAGAGACTTCCCAGGGCCAGTAGTCCATGAAGGGAAAATTAATCTGGATACCTGGAGGACATTGCCAGCCTGGCAAGAAAACACAAGATCCACGAATCCTTGTAATTGTATGAAAATTACTAACCCGTCGTCATGAGAACAGACTGGAAAGTTACTGACTGTGTAACTTTTGTGTATAAATACCAAGCAGATAGTTTTGTGTGTGTGCTTGACCTGTGGGAAATCACTGAGCACCCTGGCTTGTGCAATCCTGAAATAAATAAGCAGTATCTCTCCTGAGTGTGTGATGATTGACATTGCTAACCGGGCAACAGATCTGCTTTTCAGACAACAGTAATGGAATACATTTTCTCTGGTGCATCTTCTTTACCCTGAAAGCTGCAGAGAGCTGGATAGTTGGAGAATAGTTATGAATTGCTCCAATCAAAAATTATTTTGCTCCTATGCCACTATTTAGGGATAAAATGCCAGGTATATCCCTTCACCTACCACACAACCAGTTTTTCACACTCCTCCCTCTTCGGGGAGTTACTTTCTTTTTTTTTTTTTTTTTACATTTTTTCATTATGTGAATTGCTCCAGATGCCCTTTTGTTTTAACTTACTCCCATAAGCTTCCTTGTGGGAATGCAACACCTTTCTTTATGATTACGGAGTAGTCAGGATTATGCCTGTTGGATTGCCACCAAGCAGACTTCATATCCCATCCACTCCAGAAACATTCATCCTAACATGAACTTCTTGTCTGCACCTGCTTGTACAGCTGCTTGCACACAGCTACTGCTGACTCAGCAGAGCCAATAAAGGATTTAAGAGCAGGTTCTTATTTTATACTCCTCAAAAGGTGTTTTACAATCAGTGTAAGGATGATTAAAGCTTACTGTGTCATTAACTAAGATGTATTTAGTTATCAGCCATCTTTGCAGCCTCATGTAGCTGTGTGGGACACCCAGGAGTCTCTCAGGTGGTTAGCAGAAATACACATATGCACCTGATGTCACAGAAGGTATCCTAAGGTATGCATGGCATCCATATGGAGCAGAAATGGAGGATATGGGAGACTTACAGGACACTGGTGCAGTTCTGAAAGAGGCAGTAGCTGAAGGCCACATGCAGTGCCAAAAAGCACCTTAAAGACACACGCAGTGCATGGCAATAGGAAGTGTTGGTGGGGGTGTTGGGGGAGGAGTGCAGTGGGAAAAGCAGGACAGCCATTTATCAGCTGTTGAAAGAACACTAAATTCAAAGCCAACACTGAAGCTTCTGTATTATGGACTTTATGAAGAATTGCAGAACTTGGAATGTTGCCTGCTGCTCTACTGATAGAAAAATGTGGAATTGAAACACGAGACAAAATTATTGAAGGAACAGGATTGGGGAGGTTGAGCTGCTGGCATTCCCCTACTGCAGAGTTTGCAGTCAGCAGTTACAATGTGAGACCAGGGATGAATGTCACACTGGCAACTGAAAGTAGTTCAAGAAGCTGTGAAGGGAGTATTAAAAAAGAAGGAATTTGTGGATCAGACCATTTGGCTCGCCAGAGGACAATCTGATCAGTGAAAAAAGCGCTGCAGAAAAGCAGAGTATGGTTGAATCCCTCTGTGCAGGATTAAGAGATGAAGATGTTGGCTGATAGGACAGGGTGACATCCTTCTGATTTGTTCTTATTGGAAACTTTACACTGAAAGCCCATTCCTGTACTCTGCATATGTTGTTTTACAAAAGGAGTTGGAACAGATGATGTTTCCTGCATTCAGATGGCTCTGGTAATTATCAAAATAGCCCCAGAACTGATGCAAATAGGCATGAGCACCATGAATTGGGAAAATCAAAGTAACAACCAATTCAACTCCAGAACAAGTAGGAATTGTATCACAGGTTCCTGGACTCCTAAGGATACCAGTGCAAAGCTGATAGTGGGGCATCTAGAAACCCTAAGAGTGCTAGTGAAGGATTTTAACAAGGAAGTAAGTTGGGACTGCAGCACTCTCTGATGTTTGCATTCTCAGGGGATTGATGCAATCCCCACAACTTTTAACCTTTTCATTGACAGGCTGAGTTCCTCTTAGAAGTAGCTAGGCTGCTTGTCTGCCTGTGTTGAGTAGAGGCTTCAGAACATCAAAGCCCTCTTGATTTGGAAATAGATTCCCAGTTGCAATGTGTTCATGTTTGATTTATGTTTGAATCAACACTACCTTTTAGATCAGCAGAATCCAGAATGCATTTTGGACTGCACTGAGTGGACAGTAAAACTCTCTCATTGAAAACAAAAGGTAAATACTGCCATAACTAAGGCAGCTCTGATACTGCCCTGTAATGTAGTTCTGTAGCGCTGCTATGTGGACCATATGGTGCTCATCCACCTTTGTGTAGTTTAAGGTACATCCTGTCGTGATGAGCCTGTGTCATTTCCTGGCCAGCATTTTGTGAGAAACACATTTGGAATATGCTATAAAGTGCTCTGGACTGTACATTACAGCAAGGCCAGGCTATTCTTTTATTCTTCTGTCTATCATGTTTGCACCATCTACAACGTGTTTTTTGACAGTAATCCCAAACCTTCTCAATTTAGGCTAGTGCATATTTAATTGGGCAAGGGGGTGGAAAGGAAAAAAAAGAATTTTTTTTTTCTTACGGTATTCAGCAATTCTGAAACAGGTGATACTGTGGTAGCAGCCCTTATCAATGTTATTAAGAAATATATTTAGTAGAGTATTTCCTTTCCTTATCAAAGATACGTTAGTTTTGTCCAAGAGACAGCGTAACACACTGTTGCGTAACAACTTTTTTTTTTTTCCAGACACCTTTATCTACACAAAAGTTTTCTTTTAAAATATGTTCTGGAGCCAACTGAGATATGCTTAAAATGTGACTGCCAGCATCAACTATAACTTAAATATGAAGATATGCTTGTATGGTGTGCAAATATTTCAAGATTACAGAAACATATTTTAAGGATGTTACTTCATGGATGATATACAACTTAGATTTCTTCTTTTATTCAATATTTTTTCAGCAGTTCTTTGCTCAAGACATAATGTATAGATCTTAATGCCTAGAAGCCAAAGAGAATAGGCAGACAAGGACTGGCTGCCTGACCTTTCTATGATGAATCATTAACAGAGAAAGCACAATCAGAAAAATACTGCAGAAAATATCAGGGAGAGAACAAATGAAAAGAAACAATCCATTAAGAATCTTCCAAAAAAAAAAAAAAAACCCCAACAAAAAAACCCCAACAGAACAAAACCCAAACACCCAGAAACAAAAGTATTTAAAAAAAGCATTTCACAGCTAAAGCTGGGTTATTTTTCATTTCTCACACAGCTGAAATGGGGAAAGTCCATGTGTTTGTCTGTAATTAAGTAAATTCATATGTAGCTGTCAACAAGTACTTAGAATCAAAATAGGAAAATTTTGGTGTCAACAACCTTGTTCTCCATAGAACAGGACACTGATAAACCTGCAGCATCAAAAATCATTTTGAATGTTATGCATATCATTCAAGAGGAAAATAGAAAAACTCTAACATTCAATTTAAGACAAATTCTCAATGATTACTGCAAGGAGCAATATATGTCATTTAAGCAAACACTGCTATGTGATTACCTCTAGGCTTATTTGCTTTAATTCTTCAGCTTCAACTGATGATGTGTAAAATTGGAGAAGGTTTATAGGTCAGTGATTTTGGAAATATTATACTATTCAAAAAATTCCTTGAAAGAAATCACTGCAGTGCTTTGATAACATGAATTAAGACTTCATCACAGTACTGCAGTTTTACATGCAAGAAAACAAAGTATTTTTAATGAGAAAAAAATGTTCCATCACAGAAAACGAGGTCTCAAATGATGCATTTGAATTGTGCTTGACCCAAGTATTCTGTTGCTTTCATCTCCATGCTAACGCACAGTACACTTGTAGCCATATACTTTTAAGAAGACACTCCAATATCGCATAATTTTAAGGGCCATGATGATAATCAGAGGACTGGAACACCTCTTCTACACAGTCAGGCTGAGGGAGCTCAGCTTATTCAGTCTGGACGGGGCTCCAGGGAGACTTCATTGTGGCCTTCCAGTATTTAAGGGGCGATCATAAATACAGGTGGAATCAACTTTTTACATGGGTGGTAGGACAAGGGGGAATGGTCTTAAACTAAAGGAGAGGAGATTTTGATTAGATGGCGGGGGAAAGTTTTTCCACAGAGAGGTGAGGTGCTGGCACAGGTTGCCCAGAGAATGTGGATGCCCCATTCCTGGAGGTGTTCGAGTCCAGGTTGAATGGGGCTCAGGGGAAACATGATTTAGTGCTTAATCTAGCAGTTGGCAACTCTACCTACGGTAGGGGAGTGGAACCAGATGATCTTTGAGGTCTCTTCCAACCCAAGCCATTCTGTGGTTGTGTAATTTTAAATAACCAGTTTCCAGTGTGTGTTCAGGGATGCATTTTGACTCTTCTGTGCAGACCTCAACTGTAAGTTTTCGGAATTAATATTTTAAAGACATTCAGCTCCTAACTTCAAAAGTTCAGTGGGATACTGAATTGGTTTGGGTTTATTCTAAAACTGTTTTCAAGATTGCTAGATCTGCAACAGCCCCTCCCATGTTCAGACAACTGTGATGATACATAAAAATGGCAAACAGACTACCTATTTTGGAGGTATCGTACTACTCAGGACTTATTGCATCAATTCTAAGTGTTCTTTGGTGTTGTATTTTCTATATCTCTCTACACTGCTTTGTCAGAATTAGTTCTTGTAGCATATGGGGTATTTCCTCCCTTTCAGATAAAAACTAGAGTCTGAACGAAATTTAAAAAGAAAATGCAAGAGATTGGAAAAAAGTTGTTCTTCAAATAAGACAAGCCCATGCATGCCTCAGTGCTTAATCACTTCAGCTAGTATGTGAAAACCTGGGATACTGAATAGAAAGCAATTACCCAAAAATGCTACATGCAAGTCATTGCCTAAACTGAGAAACATCAAATTTAAAGAGTCTAATGAATGCATTTTAACCTTGAATGTTAAATATATTTGAAGCGTAATAAAACTGATGAAAATTATGCTCTCTCTGATAATATCCAATTTGATTATTTTTATTAGCCAAAGTCACCTTCACTACATTATGCATTACAGTTGATGTCAAATTCAGGAGGGAACTTCATGGTAAATGAATAGCTTAATTAACTCGATAGTCTCTCTAAGAAAAAGGGTACGCATGACTGCACAGATCTTAAGCCAAATATAAAGGAACAACATTCTTTAGTAGTTAGTACTCATACCACAGCCAGTGTGATCAGATGCTTTTCTTAATGCCTTGTCCAGCAATGAATACATGCTGGCATGTGTTGTTCATCTCACAAAATCACATATACCTGACAAGAATGAAGCGAAAAAAGACTGAGGCTGAGTCACAATGGTGGATCTCAACTAAATGGTCAAAAATTATGGCTGCTCTTCAATAAAAGTCCAGTTTGGAAGGCTATGGAAGGGCAGCTCTTACCCACCGTTTCTGTGGTGAACTCTGAAGAGAGCTTTGCCTTAACTGAAGGCTTGGTCTGAAAAGCCACCCTCACTTAACACAACAGGTGGTAACTGAACCAAAACTGAACTCTTTCACTTTCTGAAGCGCTCTGCTTTCGTTACAGCTACTGTGGTTATCCTTCACACTGCTGCCAGGATCAACACTTATTCTCAACATTTTTCACCTTCCTAGAATTACATTCCTGATCTAGTGAGACTTGGAGCCTAGATCCATCCAGTAGCCTACACCTATTTCTAAGAACTCCCCATGTATTCAGTACATTCATGCCGAAATGGCCAATTTGTTCCAGAAAGATAAATAAGTCATGCGTGTTAAGCAGCAGTAAGGGACTTGGAAACTACTAATTTCTCTTTTGGCAGATGCTTTTGAGGAGAACCTTTGCATTCAGTGCCAAGTGGCTCTCCCAGCTTATGTATTCAGTGCAATATTAGAGCCTCAAGATGTGTACAGCATACAGAAACTTTGCATTTACATTCAAACCACCACTGAATTTAGACTTGTTGAAAAATAAGGAGTTTAACCTGTGAAACAAAAGCCAGAAAACACTGGGAGCTCTTAACTCAGTAATAGACGCTCAGTACTATTCCTTGCCTTAACCAAAAGAAAACTTTCAAATTCCATCTCCCCTCCCATCTATCCCAGAGCTATCTCAGGTAGGGATAGACAAGTTTATGACTGAGTAAAGTGCAGCTCCCCTTGCCCAGTTCTGGTATACTGCAAACTGCGTTCCAAATCAAGCTCTTCCCACTCCCAGCAGCTGCTGACAACACCTTCAGAATGTGCACACAACTGGTTTGCAGTGGGATTGGGGAGCAAGAAAAAAGGAGTTGTTCTTCCAGCTAGGAATGACACTTTTGTATCATTAACTAAACAAAACCAGTAAACACAGAATTCAGAAAGTTTTACTTATCAGACTTCAGAAAGTCTGATAGTACTCGGATGTCCTGGTGGATCCTTTGACAAATCTGCTCATTTCTATATATTAAAAGTAGCAAGATAGTCTGATTACTGTAACAGGTTTGATTTCTCCAGTACTCATTTCAATTGCAGATGTACCCACAAGTAGAAGGAATCAGAAGTTAGTGCTTGCATCTTTAGGACTTCCATCAGTACATCTGAATGGCAGGGTAGAAATGCACAGATTCTTAACCGCAACAACCACAACTGTGCAGGCCATCAAAACAAATTTAGCAGCATAAATTCAATCTTTTGGACAAACCACCCTCCTCCAAAACCTTGTAAAAATACCAGTGCAACATAGAGCCATTTTACAAAACAATTGTCTTTATAGAAAGGTATTTTAGTGGTATACGCTGAGGTAAATGATAAAAGTAGACCCAGAGGGCATTACCAGTGTTATGAAGAACTCCAGATGAAATATGGCCAAAAGCCTGTTTTATAAAAGCTAATATTTACCTACCAGTTATGAATGTTTACCTACCAGTTATGATTGCTGGTAAGGTACTTATTGCTGTAATACTTCAAAATTACTTTTCAGGTTACAAATTGAAAAATATATGAAATTAGATCGATATGAATGTTAGGTATTAGCTGTAACAAATTTTAAAAGGCATCGTACCAAGTTTTCTTAATTGTTTACTAGCCAATTTGATTGTAGCAGGTAAATAAAATACAGCATACATTTTACCTGACGCCATGCATCAAAATCACCATAAAAACTAAGTTTATCAAAGTCCAACTCCACAAGGAAAACATGAAAAAGTGCAAATTATGTACCCATATTTCTGTCACAGCTGTTTTTTCTTAATATGGCATGAAAAAGGTTTACAGTATATATTAAGAAACTTCTTACAAGTGTTCACCTCAATGCTTATATATACAACATTTTGCTCAAAGTGCTCACTATATTAAAAAAACTGATTGGATAAAAATATTTAAACAGTGCTTTCTGAACGTTCAGGGAAAATTCATGTAATACATCAGTCCCATTGGTTTTCCTCTTCACTCAGTGCAATGAGATGCAGAAGTCACATCAACTTCATGAAATCTTAGCTCGCCACAGTGCCAGAAAACCTCAGTTACAGTGGCATTCTTGGTGTCCCATTAGGAGTGGGTCTCTTATTTTTTTGCACATGACTTTGATGTTTTCGAGATCTTACTACTTTCATTCTTACTTCAAATACTTCTTGTATGGCTTTTCGAAAACAATGGAAATTGTAGTCTATTAATCCTACAGAGACAGAAATGTTTTCCATATTAATAAAAACATTTACACAAATGAAGTAATCACAAATTTGATTATATTCTACATTTACTAAAATACCACATTCTTGCTCGAGGTCATAATCACTGAATTCTCCAGGCAATTTTTTTCTGTCCTAAGCAGAAGTAAATTTAATAAATACTAGTAATTCAGTGAGCATCACAGTTTCTTGTTACATCCTGTATTAACTGCACATATTGGTCTTAAGAGAACACAAAGAGAAGTACTTTGCCAGATAGGAAAGCTTTAACTTAAGAAAGAGCTTAGGAGAAACACTCAGGATACTACAATATAAATTAAACTCTTTCCCAAATTACAGTGTCATTTTGCAACTTTACCTCACAAAAGAACCATGATAAAAAAAATATCATCTAGCAGTAAAAAAAAATTCGTATTTTTTTTTATAATATATAAATTTGGAAACAGATACTCTGCAGCTATATTACCAAATAGCAGTACCAAAAACCACTTATACTTCATTTTACACCCTAACTGAAAACTAGCACAACAGTCATGTTGTTAGATTACATACATATATACTAGGCAGTTAAAATTACCATGTGAGTGGGCTGACTGTGATCCCACAGAAAAGCTGTAAAGCCATACTGGTAGTCAATCAGAAGACTTATTGGGTGCTATAAATTGTTTAATACTGCCATACAGTTTTAAAATTTTGGACAGGGTTAATTGCCATAAACTTTCCCAATGTTGTGGTTTCCATCTCAATTTCCTTAACAGGAGACAATGCAAATTTGAAATAGTTCATACCCAACATGTTAAACTTTCTTTTTTTCCAGAAATTGCTTTCCTTCTTCCTTGAGTTCAGACAGAGAACTCAGTTGAAGTTTCGAGATACTAAAATAAAACTGCATTAAAATACCAAACCATACTGCTCATGAATATTGACTTCAATACGAACTGTCCCAAATTATGCAGACACAACAGTTTGACACAAAGCCTAACAAGTATTTGCTCAAGATGGTGTCTTTTCTGAAACAGTCCTGTTAGTGTTACAGTAAAACTTTTTAATGCTTACAGCAAAACCAACATGGGCAGCAGCTAACTTTCAAAGACAGTAACAGTGGTACAGATACATGAGAGAAATTTGACCAGGTAAAGTTCTATAAAATAAAAGCTAAACAGCCTGCCAAACAGTTCAGCAGAGATGGCTTGAGTACTGCATTCACAAACACAAAGACACTGACTGGTGAATTAGTATCACAAGAAAAGGATCACAAGCCAAAATGATGGCTCATTTTTCCACTGTTCCTTTCCAGTCTTGGGACATTTGAAGCCCAGTAATTCAGTGAACACCACACCAACTAAGCAATGTGGTAATTAACTAAGCTTTCAGTGTTGACCTTGACTAGGATCAGGGCAGGATAAGAAATGTTAGGTACTTCAACTACAAAATGTAAATGCTGCCTAATCCCAAATATGCAGTTTTTTAAAAGCCTACTTTCAAAGACAAGAAAAGCGAGAACATATTTCTATCAGCTAGTTTCAATACTTATCCCTTGGTTATGGCACTCAAGCTGTTCCAAACTCATATGCTAGTGCCAATAGGTACAAAGCAATGCTAGCCAAGATAAATTGACACATTCTACTGTTGCAGATGGAAGCTTCATTGCAATGAATGTAAACTGTATGCTTTCTTATCAGAAAGCAGTCAAATGTATTTTTGATTTCATCTTAATGTCAGCACAATACTTCACGCCTTTAACCATATTATGTAAGCTCTATCAGGCTGTATTTGTAATATTTGTGATAGAGCGAGAGAATGGATCAGCTAATGGCAATCAGAGTTATTCATTAGTTTGTTTGTACAAGGTAAAATAATGTAATATTAGAAAGAGGTAAATACCTTTTCTCTCAAAGCTTTCTTCTCTCACAAAGCAAACAAGAGCAAGGAATTTTGTTACTTCTTTTAAATAAAGGACAGTTGTATTGTTCAGTTTTATGATTGCCATTGATTCTTTGTCATACGGAGTTCCAGTGCCATCATCTTTAAGCCTGAAAGGCAATATTCAAACAAGCAAACAAGATAAGGCATCAGATGAGTTAAAAGTATTTCCAAGTATGTGCTTGTGAGATCTTCTTAAATGGGTAGTTATCACTAATCTCCCAGAATAATAAGCATTGATAATATTTTAAGGCAACAGGTTTCACAGATGTTCCAGGAACAGAGGACAATAAATTAATTCCAATATCATGCTTTTAGTTTGCAGATAAAAACATAGACAGGCAGGTTTCTATGACAAATGCTAAATGATTGCACAAGAGACAGTGGCAGAATGAAACTGACTAGAATGCCTCCCTGTTGTATTATACAGATAATAATTTTGAACCACAGAACTGTATCTTTCTCTCCACACATACAAAAAAGGCTACAGAATCAGAATCCTTCATTGTAAAACTCTGTAAAACAAGTTCTTGTACAGTTCAGAGATCAAATCTAAAATCTAAAAGATACAGCAAAACACACAACTGAATAAATTTTACAGAAGTATTCAACAATCTGTTGTTCTTTTGCTGTTCTAATGGTTATTGTACACCTGCACCAGAATTTTCCCCCATACCTTCTCGAAGATCTATAAAAAAATCTATAAAAACAGGTAAGAATTTCAGACTACTGAAGACTACCACATTTTCAGAAGCAGATACTGTGGCTTAGCCTCCAATTCTATATACCTTAATGCACTAATACTTAATGCACCCCTGCCTTTCCAGGAATAGCTAGCATTGCACTGGGTCAAGCCATTTGAAACACCAACATAACTTGCAAGGAAAGTTGATGGCATCAAGCTGAGTAGTGCAGCTAACACAACAGAAGGGAGGGACACTGTCCAGAGGGACCTGGACATACTCAGTAAGTGAGCACATAAGAATCTAATGAGGTTTAACAAAGCCAAGTACAAGCGCTGCACTTGGGTCAAGAAAATCCCAGATAGGAATACAGACTGGGAGAAAAACTCATTGAGAGCAGCCCTGTGCAGAAGGACTTGGGGGTTTTGATGGGGCTGGACATGAGCCAGCAGAGTGCTACTGCAGCCCGGAAGGCCAATAGTATCCTGGGCTGCATGAAATGAGGCGTAGCCAGCAGGGTGAGGGAGGGGAATTATCCCTCTCTACTCTGCCCCCATGAGGCCCCATCTATACTGAGTCCAAGCCTGCAGCCCCCAGAACAGGAATGATGTGGAGCTGCTGCAGTGGGTCCAGAGGAGGGCCATGAAGACGACCAGAGGGCCAGAGAACCTTTCTTATTAAGAAAGGTTGAAGGCAAGAGGGTTTGGCGCTAGGAAGAATTTTTTTACTCAGAGGGTGCTAAAGTGGTGGAATAGGTTGCCCAGAGGGGTTGTGGATGTCCCATCTCTGGAAGCATTCAAGGCCGGGTTGGATGGGATCCTGGGCAGCCTGATCCAGTGACTGCCAACTCTGCCCATGGCAGGTGGGTTGGAACTCGATGATCTTTAAGGTCTGCTCCAACCTAAGCCATTCTGTGAGAGTTCTCCAATCACTAAAGGATAGGAAGCTGAAAAATACAAATTTTGTGCAGGGAAAAGAGGACAAGCAAAAAACTGATGGAAGAGGGAAGCAGCTCTTTAAGGCCCGCAGAGGCGATTAGCTATTAAACACAACTACATTCAGCCTCACATTTAATTATTTATTTTAAATGAGAGACATCCTTCTGTTGAATTTGGCCCTAGGGAACAAAAAGATGGTTAATATTTCCTTTTTCTTTAGGATGGCTACTTCCTACTCCTTCCCACAAAAAATAAATTACTCACACAGAAAGAGGAAGGTGCTCGCAAGAGAAGCCAGGCAAGGAACACTTTTGCTAGCAGGTGATCTGCACCTAACAGGCCCTTAATTTCCTCTTTCTCCCTTACTCATTCTCATTATTTTTACATCTACATAATTCTTATTTTGAGGTCATTCAGATTCTATGTACATAGCTTCATGAAAAGAAAAAAAATACTTACCCATATATACAAGAAATGTCAATCACAACATCTATCATATCACAGCAGAGCTCGTAAGTTTGCATATCCACTGGAGTGCTGTCCGTTGCAATATAGATCTTACTTACTACATCAAATAAAAATGCTTTCTCAATCCCAGAATTCTATTGAAGAAAGAAAGAAAAATGAAATATAAGCCCTATGTTTGATTAGTACCAAGATTTTCTGTTTCCCTACTTGCCTACTGCACAAAATGTAAGGTTAAGTAGGAGTTAATTTGCAGCCAAGCTCATTTTGAGCAATGACATATTTGTAGCAAGCTGTGATGACTACAGACCTTCTATATGCTTCTGTCTTTAATAGAAGTTAGGTTCCCAAATTTCCTCTCTAGAATAAATTACACTTGTTTTCAGTGTAAAATACAAGATAAAAAAAAAATTCCAAGATCAAGCTTCTGGGGTGCTTTTTCTGATTGTAGAAATGGACATAAAAAGAAACTGTAATTTAAAGTTATTCTAACTGGACATATAGGATGGTGAAAACAAAGAAAAACAATTGACAAAGACAGTAGGAATCAGGAACTAATTCCTCAAGGAAACTGAGAAATCAGTAGCTGTTCTACTGCATAGTTCCTCAGAACATTTTTTATTCAGAATCACAGGAAAAAGATCAGTATTTTGATGGTGCCTTTTCAGTTTTCATATAGAATTTGTCGTTAAAGACATGTTTAAGGCTTGCTAATGTGACAGCATCTATGCTCCTGTCATCCTGCCAAGCTAATCAAGACTCTCTCAGTACTGAACACGTATTATATCTGCAACTCTCAGATGGTAGGCAGGAACGCTAGCTCAGTTTCGGCTTATACTCTTTGTGTAGATAAGGCAAACTGCCATAAGCCTCTGTCTTCTAGAGTGGGAATAAAAAAACACCACGTGTACTGAAAACTGAAAACAGTAGCTTTGTGTGGTCATATCAAGACTTTGCACCTGGGCAGCTGTCCCAGCATGAACACAAAAGACAACTTCCCAGTATAGCTGAAGATCAAGCTGACAAATATGCTTCGGAATCCAGACACACAGAACAGAAGGAATCTTCTCCCTTTAAACTGTATTTTTTCCATATATGGGTCTCCTTTTAGTAGGATTTGAGACTGTTGCTATAACTGTTTCATAACTGTCAAAAACACTCTGAAAACCCATACCAACTTATAATAGTTTCAGCTTTTGTAATTATAGAAGTTTTCTTCTTTCTTTTGCAAGGGAATAACACATAATTAGTGACTAAAGTGACCCTCACACTTTCCAAATTCCCCATAATAAGCAGAAAGAATTAATTAGGTATTAATTCTTCTACTGCTGGACATCCAAATAAGTTGGAAATATTCATTCATAGTGGTAACAGAGGTGAATTTCTTGCATTTAATCATGGAAAAAGAGTTCATGAGTGGCTCATTTCTTTAGGTCATTAATAGAAAAAAATATTCAAGAGAAAGTATACTCTCTGGATACCCTATGTACATGAGCTGAAGCACATGATGACAAAGAGACTCTCAGAGAACTGGGATTATGCAGTCCGAGGAAAAGAAGGCACACTGCTGTCTATAAACCCCCTCTGGAAGGATGTGCAGAAGACAGGCCCAAACTCTTCTCAGAACAAGTGTTGAAGGGCAAGAGGCAAAAGACAAACTGAAATTCTATCTTAAAAAAAACAAAAAGGAAAACACACACACAAAAAAATCCAAACAACAACAAAGACCTTTTTTAGCATAAGAATGGTCAAGCACTGGGAGCACGTTGTGGAGTTGGTATCTTTAGAGATACACAGAGCTGAACTGGACCCAGCCCTATGCAAACCTGCACACAGTAGCTTGACTTTCAGCAGGAGCTGACCTCTAAAGGTCCTGCTCAGCTCATTTAGCTCCATGAATCTACGTTTTTTGAGAATTAAGAACAAAACTGTATGTGTATTTTTTTTGGTTATTCTGTCCACATTTAATAGCTGTGCAATTACAATATTCAAACAATACATAAATTCTGACAGCACTTCATATACTTCTACAGATGTAGTCGAGTAAGATTAATCACAGTTTACCTGTAAATACCATCTGAATATATTCCTTAAAAAGAAAACTACTTTTAAACAAAAGAGATTGGAACTTGAGCCCTGCAGTGTCATTCTTGAAGAGTCAATTATAAAATTTTATATTACGTAAGAAGAAAATCAGTTGCATATATAACTACCTTAAAATATTAAGATGTCAGTGACAATATTGTATCATTTAACAATGAGAAGCAATGTACCCATCTCAGAACTCTAGCAACTGCAGCCTGTCAACACTTACAGTGGCAGTTTAAAAGGTTTTCATCTTGAAATGTCTGCCATGCCAGCTATTACACATGGTAGTAGGGTAAAACTTGGCATCTTAAATCATTGTTGCATTAACTTGAAACTGATACACTATGGTAGGATCTGCTAGAAAACTGGCAAGACTCCTTCTGTTTAACTTTGTATGGTGACAGAAACCTCTACAAAAGGGTAGGCTGGGCTGCCAGTGATAACCACTAAATTGTACCAGCAAGAGCTCTCTGATTTTATTTGCTGGAGTTTTTAGTATGCCTTAAATTACAAAATCAAAAGATTTGCCAGAATGTTTGTGAGGATATTTATCAACATAACAGTAAAAACAATAATTATTGTTTTATTTTATTGAAGCCATGAGAAGACAGGGAGCTTTGGGTAAAACTTACTATACAATAGAGGCATCATTAACACACAGATAGCAAAAATGACAGTGAGAAATCAACTGTTAAATTAGATAAATGGGCTTATCTTTCACCTTATTGATAGTATGGAGACTAAGTCAGAAACTGGCCCTAAAAAGAAGTTTTTACACATTCCCACATCACACATCTTGACTACCTGGTAAGGCCATAGGGATAAGAAAAACAGACATCTCTCTATAGGAAGCTGATGTTAGCCAAAATTCACATTAATTTTAAACACCAAACCATTCTTTAGTTATTTTGTTTTACAGGCAGTTGGACCAAAGAACATAGAAGCAGTATTATAATGATCAAATGCACAAGCTGTATGAGCTAACACACTGTGGGACTATAAAAGTTGGTTAAAAACCTGAGGTGAACTCAAGGGTGATCACAGATCTATTTTTGTAATTACCAGCTTTTGTGTTGGAAGTCTTTATGGCATAAATGAAAGCACATCCTCATGAATATTGCTTCAAACCCAAACTAGAACACCAACACACCCACATTCTGATAACCAACACACTGGCTTCCTGAAGTAAGGCATGAACAAAATCTGTGTCAAGATTCCTAACCTGATTTGTTGTCACTGAGTTGCTAAAGAGGCGCCCACTAATTCTACACCAGAGAATGATGTTTAGTCTTTCTATGGTTGCAAGTAAGAGTCATTCTGAGCCTACTGTCTACAGATGAAAGATGCTCTTCTAAGCAGAAAGCAAGCTTTCTGAGCACACAGTAAAGCAGCTACATCTTGTTCTATGTCACTGACTGTTATGTTTTACTTGGAGCTAAGAAACAGGTTGAGACTCTTGGCCCTAGGGGCAGAGGAAATAGCTTATCTCTCAGGAACACTTCTCTAAATTTCCCATTCATTTGAATGAGTTGTTCTGCCCGACCAGTCATATCTGATACTCTAGATATTATGGGGCCTTCAGTCTGGGTGCCCCACATGCACAAACAACTGTTGTCAGTAAGGAAACAGCTCATGCTCGAGTCATGTAGTGGTTTGGTACAAACTTTTCAGCAACTCCAAACAGTGAGAAGACCCTAGACAGAGATCAGACTCGTGATATGAGTAACCAGGGCAGTTCTGGAATTACGAAGATTATCATTCAGCCAGCTTTCTCATTAATACTATATAGCATATTCAAAATAATACCTAATTGCTTCAGAACTATAATCATTACTTTTCTACCCTAAGTAGAATGAAGGGCTGGATGACAACTGGCATTCAGTACAGCCATTTTCTTGGAATGAGATCTTTGTCATAAACCATTCCTTATGAATTGGTTGCCTAATAGTAAGAAAATAAATTTGGGAAAGACACTTCTTTAATCCTAGCTCTCCCTTTCAGCAAAACAGCCAACCACCCTCTCTCCCAATTTTCACACCCCACACTGAGAAACTGTGAAGTCTTATTTTATCCTACAGGCTGTTGAATGATATTAAATAATTTCATGACTTCAGAATCACAAAAAGGCAAGCCAAAATGCCTTGTTTGGAAACTAAAGTTTGACTAATGCTAATGCGAGGTACAAGAATGGGTACAGTTCCAGGAGCCACTAGGATCTGAACTAATGCATCAAGAAAAGGGGGGGAAACTCTCCTTTCTCACAACTACTTAATGTGTTTCCCATTCCTCATTGTCACATGTCCCCGTTTCTAACCTTGGGCCACAAAAAGAGTATGTTGGTTTCCTTCATGAGCTGCTTTTGACTAAATGAAACAGGCAAAAGAACCGGACAGTCTTCTCCTGTATGACTATGTGTCAGAGTGACTCCATAAGGGAACAGGCAGGTGTAAAGCATAAAGGAAGGGAACAGACCATACATCCAGGAGCAGTAAAACTAGCAATTACCTCCACAGCAACAGCAGGATGTTAGATATACAAAGTTCCCTAACTGGCCTTGGAAGTAACTGTGGAAGCTGTGAAAGCTGTGGTGGACTCTACCTCCAAAATGTTAAGACTACATTTTCGTAAGAGAGATAAATCTCAATGCAAAATAGAATAAATTCTAGGTAGTACTATAGACAGTTCTCTTACATAAAAGGTCAGACCAGATGATGCTCCTTTAAGAATTTATCAACACAAATTTCAAGTACTACTTTAAAAACTGCATACAGCACAGACTTTTGTAACACTCAAATGAACTTAAAAGCAGGAAAGCAATGACTTTTTCTCTCAGAGAGTGGTCAGGCACTGGAATGGCTGCCCAGGGAGGTGGTGGAGCTGCAGTCCCTGGCAGTGTTCAAGAGATGTCTGGATGAGGAGCTATGAGATACAGTTTAATGCTTGTGGTAGCAGTGGTAGTGGGAGGATGGTTGGACTGGATGTTCCTGTAGGTCCTTTCCAACCTTGTGATCCTATGATTCTATGACTGCTAATGCACTTTATGTGCCATTTTCACTCATAAAGTGCTGTACCTCAGCAGATCAGCAATACTGTCAGACAAGGAAGGGAGGCCTAGCTTCATGTGAGTGCATTTCAGCTATATTTTGATAATTCCTCTGAATGTTCACGTTGCTCACAATCTCTCAGAAGGCAGCGAATAGGATATTTCAGCGTGCGTGATGGTCATAGCTTCATCTATAGACAAAACATGTAGCAAGTACTTACTGAAATAAAGATGTTAAGCAGATTTTCCAGTGTTGGGAGCTGTGGAATCAGTTTCTGTACCACTTTGCTAAATGCTTCAAATATAGAATGATCATATATGCTTGTCAGATAAAAGCTGGAAAAAAAAATCACCAGATTTTTCTTTTAGTTACATACTGTGAACATGATGCACCTTTCATAACATGAGTGAAACAAAATATTGTCAAACAGCAAGTGCCTACAATTATGCAATTACCCCTTGTGATCAAAAGTCACATGTTATGACTGAAGCACAGGCCTTCATACGGAACTAAATTCTCACAATTATACTTGCTACAGCAATGCATACCTCCATATAAAAAACAGACAACAACAAAACACCTAAACAATGCAAATGAGCACCTGATGTAGGACTTCATGATGTAATTCCCCTTCATAATGTAATCTTAGAAAACATTTTTCAAATTGCAGAAGAGGAACATTACTGAACATAGGTAGTGTGACTTAATTTTTTGAAAGCTGGACCCATTTTACAATGCACAATGCAGTCAGGTTTTTAAGAGCTCTTAAGTGTTTACAGGTTCATAAAACAGTCTCTTTCTATACATCCATTTGTACTTGGCTATAAGCACTAAAAATAATATGGAAACTTGATGTCTCCCTAGTTTCTAGTCTATCAAAGTTCACTGTTTTTAACTGTTTGCTACAATCATTTGCTTTATCACCAGATACAAGACAGGTGCTCTCTCTTTGCCTTCCCAAGTTGCTCTGAGGAGGCTGCAACAATGAGAACTAGTGACTGGGAGATGACAGTGAGACAAGGAGCAGTTTCGAAGACAAAAGTGATGTGGATGGCATATGCATTCTTCTAATTTCAAGACAGAAACTGCAGCAAAAACTGTCAGGACTCTGACATATTTGTCATCCGTTTTTAAGCATTTCTGCTCCTTACCTTGCTTTTCAAGACAGCGCTCAGAAATAAGATACTGCATTTGACCTGAGCCAAACAAATTATCTGTGACTTTTTCCTTCATATGTCAAAATCTTTTTGCTTGCTACTTCAAGAGAACAGAAAATATTAACTTGTTAAATAAACAGCTTCTCTCCAACTTAAGATTTTTTGTACAGCAGCTTTTCTCACCTGAGATGAATTTTCTCCAATCCAGCATCTGCAAGGTCATCATTTGCCCTCTGGTGAATATCTCTTTGTGTTTCAATCTTGTGATCGTCAGATAAGCCATCCACTTTATGGATAAAGATTTCAAAGTTGATGTCTGGATTCACTTTATATGCTCTGGTCACAGTAAGATGCAGCCGAGCTAATGCTTCCATATAATCATCCTAATGAAGGAAAAATAAAAACTGCAGGAAAGATGTGCAAAATATCTAAAATATTACAGTGATTACTTTTAGATAATGCTACAGATTAACAATATCTTAGGTTCTTTATTTCTTATAATAGAAAACTGAGCTTGTACCCAGCATGTGCACTGACCTTAAGCTGTCAGCACTTGGGAGACTGAACAAGAACCTTGCGATGTTAAAGCAGTTAACTGTTTTAAACATCTTGCAAAAGGAGATTAAAAATAGCCAACCAGCTCTTCAAGTTTTAATGACTTCCTGTAAATGTGCTTTTGTAACCATAAGTTATTTATTTGCTTTGAAGAATCTATGTTTTCCACTTGTATGTTGCTAAAAAAAAAAGATAAAGGTAGCTTAAATGCAACCCCATACACACTTTTGTTTTTGTTTTTGTTTTTTTTACCTGAGAGTCAATAACAAATATTAGTGCTCCAGTGCCTCTGAAAATCATCTCATAGTCAAATGTGGGGTCAAAGAAGTCAATCTGCCCAGGAAAATCCCATATCTGAAAGTTGACAAAGGAGCTGTTGGATACATCCTCTCTGCAGATTTTGTTTGTGCTTTCCAAGAAGAGGGTCTCATTTGGTGACATTTTGTGAAAGACAACTTTCTGAATGGAAGACTTCCCACTTCTTCTCAAACCCATGAGCAGGATTCGTGGCTTAACTTCAGTACTGAAGGGATCATTGAAATCCAAAACTGAATAAAATCATACAAGAAGAAGAGTAACATACTATAGCAACATAATTAATGAGTAACTGACAGATGACATGAATCTAACATTTATTTTCATGACATTCTGAGTTGGATTTATGCAAACATTACTGATTTTTAAACTGAGGGAACTGCAGACATTTCAGCCTGGATTCTTTGCCCCTGAGTGGACTAAGAAAAACTACTTTTCATCCATAGCAGAAGCTGCAGACAGCATGCTTAGTTTGTACATGAAAATTATTTTATCCCACAGCCATCCTAACATATGTAATTTTATTGTAACACAATAAAACATTCCAACTCAACTTTAAAAAAAGAGTATCCAGTAACAAATACCTCTGTCAACCAACAGCTAGATCATGCTTCTGGAAGCAAGAAGTGAGCTTGTGTTAGTTACATTTGTGTGACATTGTAAAGCTACACAAAAGCTTCCTTCCTTCCTCTAAGCAAAGGAATCACACATCCCAAGAGCCATAGGAAGAGGACAACTCAGCAGGCACACATCTTCTCCTGTTGGGACTTAAAGCACAGAACTGAGCTCAAGAGAAGTCCATTTCTAAGGCCATTATGATTTCACCTGCTGTTAAATGATTTGTGTTACAGTCTATACAAAGTTGTTATCCAATAAATAAGATTACAGGATAACCCTTGCCTATCTGCAGAACAAAGACCTGAAAACACCATTATTCAGTTGTGTTACCTACTGTAATTTGAAACTCATGTAACTAAAAGTTAACATGTTTCAGGGATGATGCAGTTATATCAGCATAAAGGGACTTAGAGGAATAAACTATATTGATAAATTCATATGGATATGACTATATTGCCTTTCACACTGGAAATCACACCCATTTCAGTTTCAGGAATGTCTAATTAAGATAGCTACGTCAGTCTAAACTCTTACTAAAATGTAGTAGGTCTGTAACTTTGAAATGTCTCATGATGCTGAGCTGAACCTAGTGCTAAATATAGTGGAAAAAAGTTTTAAAATAATACTGTGATATCCTGTTTGCAGGACCAAACATAAGCAACACAAAATGCCAATGTTCTATCTATAGAATAAGGCTCTCGGCACACAGCAGTCAGGTTTAAAATGTAGACCATACAACAAGCCAAGCACACAAGATGTCAGACATCCCTTCTCCTACCTACTGCATAACAGACTGTCCAACCTAATTCAGGGCAGAGGGAAATTGCATTTCTTACTCATTTTCTGCTAAGGTGAATTTGGAATTGCACCACCTGCTGGCTCACCAGTACTTATGGCTCTCACTGTGAGTCCCTGGTACCACAGTGACTGACAGACCATTGATCTTTGAGATCCTGTGCATTTTGACAGGCCTTGGCAGTTATTTCCACGTACTGTGCTTTGTCCTGCCTCACCTACAGGACACTGCCAACCTGGAGCAGCACGCAGATGAAATCCTTCAAGCAAAATAGCAGCAAGCTGCTGGGGACCGTAAGGTGCTCATCCTCCTAATGCAACAATGGACAACAGCAGCTGATCCTCAGGCAGCAATATTTAGGAAGTAATTAACGGCAGTCGACACACTGCTCTACCCTTCCTGTCAACGTGAGCAATAATATCATTCTGTGACTGCATGAAATATGTGCCTAAGATACTTCAAACCAAGACAGAGAGGAATAATAAGCCTCTGCTCTAAGACAATGTGACAGCATTCATTACGTTCTGCGGGGCGCAGTCTTGTCAACAAAGCAAACCAAAGGAGTAAGATTTAACAGCTTCTTTCACTCCGCTCTCCTTAATGCACAAATTCTCTACAGCTGCTAAAAATATAATGATTTATTAATGTTCATACATCCATACATCCTGCAATCTACATCTTGACTACCTGAACGGAAAATAACTTAGTCAAAGCTTTACAAGAACTAGTTTGAATACATCATTTTCAAAATGCATACAAAAACCAGACTTTGGGTTGATGCTTTATTGCATGTTCCAAAGAATTATAAAAAAAACTCCACTTTGCTTGGTTCGTAACAGAACCTACCAAGTCTGGTTTGCTGTGTACTGTTTCCCTTTCCTCTCTCCACCACAGTAACACCAACTTCCCTGTATGTCTTATGACATACCCTCCAAAAAACTGATGTGACATGCTGTGGCTGATCTGGAGCTGACCACACGCCTCAACAGCACACAGGCGTGCACCAGGCAGCCAAGTGCTGCCGCAGCATGCATCCATTTGCTTGCCTGTCTCTGAGAACACTTTCACTGGAGCCTCTCCTCTCAGCACTACCTTTCATCAAGCCTGCACAAACTCAATCATTTGAGACTTCTTTCCTTCAAATTCTAGTGTAGGTGGTCAGTAGTTCCCAAAGTTCTGACAAGTAATGAGACAAGAAGACAGGGTAGCTACTTCTTTAAGAAACAGGCCAAAAAAATGCACAGGTACCTAAAACAAATATTTAGAATAACTTGGAGTTTTAAATTGTTGCTATATTATGTTTTCCCATGTAGACACGTTTTTATGAACTGTAATACTTACTAGAAAGGAATCACATTAAAACCATATTAAAGAACAGAGTTGGAAGTGCAAACAGTTATTAGCAAGTAGAGTGAATGCTGTCTCTTCTACTAGTAGGAGTGCTACTTAGCTCTTGGAATTCTGCCAGTTCAAAGACAGGGAAATGTGAATTAATATCATCCAAACCTGACTAGATAGCAGAGCTGCTGTAGCACTTTCCTTGGAGAGGGAGTTAGAAGATTACCTTATATGTAAAGGAATTGGATGATACACTGCCTGCCCACATTCCTTTCCAGAGTACATGACAACTCCTTTAATTTGCCATAGCAATGTCAGTAGATGTATCCTCGCAACTTCCCAGATTGGGTTACTAAGCAAGAATATACTATGCATGAGAAACATTAAACTATTCTCTGTTCCATAATGGGAAAGATAATTTTCCATGTCATCAGATGAGACACGTTTCCTACTTCATTCACTTTCGCATAGTCATAAAATGCCAGTTTCTAGCACATACCAACAGTTCTCCTTCACATTTCAACTCCACTAAGCAGCCACAAAGAACACTCTGGTTAGAAGCTAAAGCCTTTGAAGCATCCACAAATTAATTTTAACAAACCCCAAAGCCCTTTCACAACACAGAAGGACTCAATTCCTGACAAAATTTCTTTAACAGCAGGTAGTGCGCGTTTATGGAGTGTTACTCGTGTGCGTTGCAACACAAAGAAGAGCCCAGCTGTGAAGAGTTGGGAACTGCACATAGCTGGTCTGTTTCACCAGGACACAAACAGAATGAATAACGTACAGCCAGAATGTTTAAAATATTCATCGATAATTAACAGTTTTTGAAACCCATCCTAAATTCCACATCAGCTACAATTATTTTTCAGAAGCCTGGGTCTATCAGTGCTCCACAGCCACGTGTGAAGGGGATGCAATGTCGGAGGGTGCATGTTTAGATCCCATCAGCAAGAAGACCGCAGTTCTCAAATGTACAAAGCACAGAAGCTCATCTGTTCATTCTACTATGTTAACAATCTCTTCCAAGACCATTTTAACTAATAGAGCTAAGAACGATTATTTTTTTGGCCTACTAATGCAATTACGTCATTCTTTTCTTAAGCTTTTACCTCTTCTATAGAGGAGAACTACCAGTCCCTTACTTTTCATATAAGTACCCATAAGGCCATTCAACTCATGGCATTTTCAGCATTACTGGGACTGTGGTGTTTGCAGTTTTTAAGACAATAGCCTTATAAATATACACACTGCACATCTTCAATGCTGAAAGTGGCCTGAGCCTGAAAAGTTAACAGAAAAAGCTTATGTGCAATCAAGTGAGCCATTCAGCTACTGTGGGTTTATGAACATTGCAGAAATGCCTGGTGGAAGGAAATTCTTGTGGGCAAAGACTCAGAACCAGAAGGCTTGGCTCTACTCTACCACAGGTGCAGCACTCTGCAAGGATCCGACTTCAAGCTACTTCTTCGGACACTCTGCAGGAAGTTTCTCTGCTTGTAAATACTTTTTAAATGCAAGTATCCAAACAATGAATAGGTGTTATGTAAACCAAGTGCTTCAAGGTATTTGAGTATGAGCCCATGCCTAAAGTCAAAAGATGAAGTGGAGAACAAACAGCAGTCATTTCAGCTCAGGTTGGAGTCAAGAAAACAGCAGAGGGTGAGAGATGACCAACACAGCGTTTTGAAATATCCTGTGTGCCTACGTGCACAAATTATGCTTTTACTTTGAAGCCTGGCTTCTCCCTTCACTTTCAACAGCCACACGTGGAGGCTGGGATACTGTATTTCAGACTGCTTACTGTACAAAAGCAGGAAGAAATAGGATAGAAACTGGGAAAAGGAAAGCCCCTTGCCCCAAGGCCAGTTTCAGACTCACAAAGTCCAGATCAACCCCCTCTTTTCTCTCCAGAGACTTCAGAACCAAGCAGAAGAGCAGGGGGTATGGCTGGTACAATAAGCCTTTGTTAGCCCTGGAGTGGAGAGGTCTCTTCACTTGCCTGCTATTCAGGATGTCAAGGTTTGTTTTCATTAGGTACAATATTCTCATGTTACTGTGAAGAAGCAATTGCCATTTTTTAGCAATTTAATAAAGCTCCCATTGAAAAATTTCCAAATAAATTCCTCCGAGAGCAGAAAATGGATTACTTCTCTGCAGAAGGTGCTGTCGGTTTAGTACTAAATAAATGCACTGAAATACATTCTCTCTGCATCAAAATGAAGGCGATTCCTCAGCAGCTTCACGCAAGACATCAATTAGTTTCAGTTACATCTCTGGCATCCCAGCGTCCTCACAGCCCCACGCCCGAGCTTGGAGCTTCGACTGCTCCCAAACTGTGGGAGTCAGTCAGCCCCCACGGCAGCTCGCAGCACTGGGCTTTCTGAGGAAAGGCTAACCAGCACGTAGCCTTACAGCACGCAGCCCTTTGTTCTGCAATTATTAGAAAGCAATTCTCATTTCACATGGACGTCCCCAGAGCCCTCCGAGCTCCCGAGCGAAGCAGCGTTCCCAAACCCACGCTCCGAACGAGAGCAACAGGCTCTGAGCCGGCGCGCCTCTCCCTGCGGAGCGGCGCTGCTCCCCTCGGGACGCCCGCATCCCCCGCACCCATCCCCGCCGACCAGCACCCGCGGGCCCCGGGCCGAGCCTGCAAACCCGACGACTGACACCGGCAGCTGCCTGCCAGCGCGGGGCCGCCGCTGCCTTTTATAGCCGGCAGCACCCCTCCCCGGTACGGCCGGCTCGCATCTCGCCCAGACGGGGAAACGCGAGGGGACCATCCCCCTCCCCGCAGCGCTTTGTCTGCGTTTCTCCCCCCCCGCGCAGCCGGTCGCCGCCCGGCAGCCTTCGCTCAGCCCCCGGCAGCCCCCCCCGCTCCCGCTGACCCCGCCGCCCGCGCGGCTCCCGGCGCGGCTCCTCCCGGCCCCACGGAGGCCTGCTCCCCCGCCCCACGCCCGCACCGGCCGCGGCTGGTAGCACTCACACGCCTCATCGCCGCCGCTCTCCGCGTCCCCGTCCGAGAAGGACTCGGCCCCGTCGGCGTAGCCCGCCAAGCCCACGATCTCCTCCTCCTCTTCCTCCTCCTCGTCCCCCTCCTCCTGGGGCAACTTCCTCGGCACCTGGCTCATGCCGGCCGCGCTCCCCGCCGGGGCTGCGAGAGGCTGCGAGAGCCCCTCTGCCTGCCGGCGGCCTCGGGGGGAGCCCAGGTGCCGCGCCGCCGCCACACGGCCCCGCGCCGCCGCCGCCGCCGCTCCCTTCCCCCGCTCGCCGCTGGGCGGAGAGCGCGGCGCCGCGACCCGCGTCACCTGACGCGCAGGCCGGGCCCCGCCGCTGCCGATACCGGCCCCGAGCTGAGCCCGGGCTCGGCGCCGCGAAGCCGGAGGCGGCGGTCTGAGGGCTGCCGCAGCGCGGGGTCCTGGAGCCGTCCGTGGTGACGGCGCGGCTTCTGGAAAGGGAGGGCCGCTGGGTGCGCGGGGCCGCGGTGGCTGTGGGGCGTCAGGCAGCCGCAGACAAAAATGATCATTTTTTTATTGCAGTTAGGCATTCTATAGGGTTTGAAAGCTCTTTGCCAGGGCTCCCGGCGCTGCTTTTGCTTTCTCGAATTGCTTTAAACGCTGACCCTCTGGCCATCATTCTGTGCAGCCCGACCAGAGAAAGTCACCTCTGGTAGCTGGGCTCCACCAGTACGTGCTGTCTCTTTCTGTCCACTGACTGCCTCTTATCAAGAGGCCTTCGGGCTGCTCTAATCCACTTGAGATAATGGAGGAACAGCTTTTTCCAGAGGGGAAAGAGAGGAGGAATCCATCCTTTACATCCCCTGTAGTGACAGATCTACCAATATGCAGATTTCAATAAATGCCTTTCCTTATTCTCAACTCATCCCCCTGCTTGGAAGTTTTTTTCTGTGAACAGCTTAACAGCTTACCAAAATGTGATGTGAAATATTTTAACATTAAGTCCATTACAAGGATTCAAGACTTAAATGTAGAGCAGGAACGTACACCAGTATTGTTTCTGTCTTGGAACAGCCCTTGGAGACACCAATGTGTTGAAAACCCCTGATAGAAACAGAAGGAAAGTTTCCGTGTTGGTAATAAAGACCTGTCTGTCTTGCATGCCACAGATCACATCTGCACAGGAAGGGCAGCTGGTTTCAAAGCTGATCAGGGAAAGCAGGGCTTGCCCATGGCCTGGCTGACTGTATCAGATTTCTTTTACACAAAGGGCTGTGAAACAGCAGCAGTCACAGATAATAATTTGGAGATACTGAAATACCAAATGAAGGCGTGGAAGCTGAGGTAGGACAGCACTGATTACAGCACACTTCCCACAGTGCTGAAGCCAGTGACCATTTGTTTGACTACAGCTTCAGGTTTAGAGCCCTCTAAATGCCATGCTCAACTCCAGGTAGATTTCTTTGAGTGGAGCTTGAAGCATTTCTGCCAACCTCTGGGCAATATAATCCATCCTGGGCTCTGTTTGAACTTCAGGACTTGTTTATCCTCTGTCCCTTTACCACCACGTTGCTCTATCCCCTCCACATTTCATCTTTTCTTTTTTTCTTTTTCTTTTTCTCCTTTTCCCCCTTTTCTCTTTCTTTTTAATCTCTTTTCTTCTTTCATCAGATCATTTCACTCCCAAGCCTGCTGCACACAATGAAGCACTGCCATGCCTGCACTCGCAGACTGCTGGTAGGGGAAAGTGGACATGGGTCTAAGTCTTTGAATACACACTGTCTAAGATATTGCATGTGAGCGGACTGCTTCAGAGGGAGTTACATTTCACAGACACGACAAATATTTTCTGTTTCAGGCAAGTGAGGGAATTCCTCATGACTTTCTCTTCCTGACAGAAAACAAAACTAGAAAAGAGAACACAAAGCTGACTCTCTGGATGAAAGAGATTAACGACAATTGAGCACAGGTGTATTCTTGCTGACATCGCCATATTCAAGGGGCCCACCCACATCGAGGTTTGTGGGATCAGGACAGTCTCATCCTGCTTCTTTAAAGGGGAAAAACTCCCATCAGATGGCTTGTAGATCAATGCCAGGGAAACCCTTTTTTTTTCCTGCAACGTGTTAATATCTTGTTTCTCAATCATAACCATCAAAGTTCTCCTGCAAGAATTTGCACATGTGGAACTTACTTAACACACAGCTTAACTGTTACTTGCACCAATACTTCTGTTCCCATGTCAGAATTTTACACAGTATCAATAAAGTTCCCACAGAGAAGGCCTAGACTGAATATGGGGAATGAGGAACCAAAGCTGTAGCGTAAGCAATCACAGCCTACTTTTGTGCATTTCAGCAATTATATTCTGATTTCTGTAACACTGTCAGGCTTTGGACTAGCACAGTAATCCTGACCAAGCTATAGAGTCAGTGAATCTATAGAACATTGAGAAGCAAGAATTGGTGTGAATACTGGCACAGAATATGAATACCATCATAACTGTTTCGTGAACAATGTATTAGACGGGGGCACAATGTTGGGATTGGTACAAACCATTCACAAGTATATATTCATTGCAAGTTTTAGTGCCTGTGATGCTTTGATGTTTGCTTCATTCAGGCCATCATCCCGAGAATGCCTCCTGGCAGAGGAAGAGGACTTTGCACCAAAATGCCCACAGTATCTCTGCATTAGGAACTGTGTTGCTCTGTTTTCTCTTTCTTTGGATCCCTCCTCTGTTATGCTACTTTGCCTACTCGCACCAACCCCTTTCTCCTGTCCTGTTCAAAAATGTTCCTGTCTAACTTACCTTCCTGCCAGTTTGTGAATTACTGATTTACACACATGAATGCCCACACAGACATATGGCTGAGGTGCACCAAAGGGCCCTGCAGTGAAGAGAAGGCTGGGTGATGCGGTGCTCAGGTGCAGCAAGCTCTCCCCCGGGCTCTCAGACTTCAGCCCAGCCCTGGAAGCCTGCTGGCTGGAAGAGCACCTGGCTCATCTGCGTTCGGTGCTCTAGCACGACTTGGGCTTCTCTGTCTCCACGACTACCTTGCAGAAGAGCCTGCATTCAGGGAGAGCACCTCAAGACCGCGTCGACGCTCTGGCTCCGTACCAGCCCGCCCTTTCCCGGCCTCACGCTTCTCTCTCCGACCTGCCCGCCCGCACCAGGTAGGGCTGCCGAGCGACTCGCCGCCCTCCACGTCTCTGCACTGGAACACCGCGAGGGCACCGGGGCGGCAGCGGCCCGGCAGCTCGGCGCGGCGACTCCCCGCTGGCCGCTCCCCTCTCCTCGGCCGGGTCGGGCCGGCGGGGCGCCGCCGCTGGGTGTCGCCGTCGCAGCGGGCACGGCTCGGCGGCACCACCTCCGGGGCGAGCGGGCGGGCGGGCTGGCGGCGGAGGTGGTGGGGCTCGTCCCGGGCGCGGACTGCAGCGCGGAGCCGAGTCCAGGAGCCGCAGCCCGGCGGCACGGAGGTGAGGGGGCCGTGGGAAGCGCGCTCGTAGGGGCGTGGGCCCCGCGGAACGGGGGCCGATGTCCGCGTGATGAAAGCGTTGCGTACCGCGGCCCCCGGTAGGAGAAGGGGAAGCCCGGCTCGGGGAAAGGGGTGGTGTGCCGGAGCCCGCGTCGGGTTTGGTGTAAACCCGCTCTCCTCCCAACTTCTAAGGCAGCGGCTGATGAGAAATGGAAACCTGGCTCGAAGTCGTCCTTCCTGTTGTTGACATCACCTGAAAACTTCGCCGGAGATTTCCACGGGAGCGCTGCGAGCTTGGGGCTGCTCTGTGAGTAGGGGCCGACTGCGGGTCCCGCTATCGCAAACCTCGATAAAGTGCAGCGTGCATCGTGCCCTGCCCTGCCGTAAGGTGCGTGCTACAGCGGGAACATAGGCAGCTCTCTACGCTTTTATTTTTGCACTTATTTGGGTTTACGTTTGGGATTTCTAGCGTGTGCGTGACCCAAAGGGCACGTTGATCGGCTGCTGAATACCTTTCATGCTTAAGGAGAGCACTGAGAGGTATCCGAGATGCCCCAGAGGCAGGTAGAGGAGTGGATTCCACCCCCTCCCCCTCCCCCTCTCCCTCTCCCCCCCCCCCCCCCTTATTGGAGTTATTGAATGGACTTAAAATGTCTTCCTCATGTTAAAGCAGGAACCCACTGGGAAGATCAGTAAATCGTTCTCTGTTCAAAGATGCAAAATGTATCCAGGACTGAATGATTTTGTGGCACTGGCTAGGCATGGTCCAAATCCCATAGTAGGGTAGGTAGAATGCATGGCTTTATTCACAGGAGAATGTTATTTACCTAACTTGTTTGCTTTCGGTGTGATATGTCCAGGTGTGCAGGAAGTTTTTGTAACAACTTAATTGGAGCTCAAGCCTGCCAAAATGTTTTGTAATCATCATTCCCTGGTTACTTGGGTAACATGCTGTTTCTGGAGATGTACAATTGCATTTCCAATCATCAGTTACAATGCAGATGGAATGGCGTGGTGATGGTATTTAGTATTTAGTAATAAGGTATTTAGAATTTAGTAATAATTTCTGAGTAGAAAATATCAGTTACATCCACTGAATGTAGCAGATATACTGTGGGCTAGCTGCATCATGTTTTAAACACCTGCCTTTAGATTTCAGTAGGAGCTTGAGGTCAGTGCAGCCCACCTAGATACTGGGTGCTGCACGCCTGCTTCTGCCAGTGAAGCCCATTGCCCCTGGCAGGAGTGGATGGGAATCCTGTAACAGCAGCACTCACCTTAATTCTCACCCGGTAGTTTGTGTGAAAAGAAACTTCAATCAAATTAAAAGTGACTTTGTGACGTTACTCAGCTGGGATTGGTTTTTCCTTTCCTCTGCTTCTTGATATTCACCTACGCTGTGCTTTCAGTTTCACATTGGAGACAGGCTTTGAGCACTAGAAATAAAACAATCAGTAAAGGATCGGTAGAAGTAAAGTGATCGACCTCTTGATCATGCAGGATCTTTCCTGTAAGGTTTCTGTACAGTTTTTTTGGGAACAGAAATGGTGAGAGTGTTGATTTGATGTATGCTGATGTAGTAAACCTGCAGCACATGGCTTAGGATCATGCCGTGTCCGAGGTGGCATGTTCTAGAGTTCACACTGTTGATCTTCTCTTGCACTTGATTAGATGAATGATATTTTAATTACTGAGGTACTTGTAGGGTATGGTAACAGTGATTAAGCACTGAGTTGTATTTCTCCATTTATCTTTACCTTCACCTTTGTTTGACTTTGCCAGTGAGTCATCTTGTCATGTAAGAAGAAACCTTCCTGCCCCTTACTCTCTATATTTGTGTAATAGGACCAACAATATTTATCTGTTTGGACAGATGACATAACAAAGAATGTTTGTAAAACACTTTTAGGTTCTTAAATTGCTTACATCATTTGACAGCAGTGTTTTATTTACTTCCATTAGCGTCAGGCTTGCAATTCCTCTTTTTCCTCAGCAGACAGGACTTATGATAAACATGCAGAGAACTCACAGTCATACCTTTTCTTAGTGATGCATCGGTCCAACAGCAGAGGAAGCAGAGGAAGTACTTTATTTAAAAATACAAATGAAGTACCATATTTCATATGCAAGACAGACCTAGAAAGATATTTGTACGAGACATTAATAAATTGTAACTGCTTCAGGCAAAAAAAAAAAAAAAAAAAAAAAAAAAAGAGGGGTGGGTGGGAAATAAGTCATTTTAGCTCCTTGTTGCTATTATTTTCCTTAGAAATTATTCTTCAACAGAGCAGCGTGTTAGATAGAAAAGTTTTTAAGCAAAACTCCTATTATCATCTGGATTAGTAATTTACATGAGGTAAAGCAGAAATAAAATCTCAGTATCTCTGGCAGCTGCAGTTGCTCTTAGTATTTAATTCTTTAGAGGTCTCTCAGTTTACTCCAGAACATCTCAGATATTAGTGGTAATAGATTGAAGGGGTACTTGCTGAAGTTTTTTGTTTTTACTAGAGTTAGTTAAAGGAGTTCAAAGACATAATGTTTCTAAGCACTGGCAGAGGCAAAAATTACTAATGGTGAAAAGCCCTCATCTGCACATTATAGAATGTTATGTTCTGATTGCAGTCATGGGTTATTTGCCAGAAGTGCATCACTTTGGAAAAATAAATTCAGCCACCAGTTTAATGATGAATATTTTTAAAGTAACTATGGTTTTAGTGTCTTGCTGAAAATTTAGTTGGAATGTTTTGTTGAAATTGAACCAAAGGCTTTTTTCATCCTAATGCTTCAATCAGAAAAAATACTTTAATTTCTAACTATTCTAATTCAAACAAATAATTATATGTGGGCTAATTACTAAAGGCCTTACAGTAATGAAGTGATTTCTTAAAAATTTCTGTTTCAAGTTCAAATTTACTTATTACAAAAATTAAAATTCTAAGTATTATACAGTGCTAATTAAGTAAACTTTAAATATACATGAATTCCAATTACAGCTTTATTTTCTACACGTTGTAAACTAAGCTGTGCTTGACAGGTAGTAGGTAATAATGTGCTTTATGGTACAAGGTGTGATTATTTAGGAGCAATACAAGCAGAGATGAATTTTGATTTAAATTGCAACTCGTAACATTTCATTGATTTTAATTCATTATTTTATAATCAGAGCTCTTGAAGCTCTGATTACGCTGTAGGACCTCTGTTTCTGGCTCTTAAGTTCTTGCACTTAAATTGTTTGTCTATTTTGTCTGTATTTTTTGAGATAGATTGATGGAAAAGGGTTATTAAAATTGATGTTGTCATCCGTACTTATCCAACCATGAATTATGTGAGTATAGCTTGTAAATCACTGAATCACAGAATGGCCAGCGTTGGAAAGGACCTCAAGAATCATAAATCTCCAACCCCCCTGCCACATGCAGGGACACCAACCTCAACATTTAATACCAGACCAGGCTGCACAGGGCCCCATCCAACCTGGTCTTGAACACCTCCAGGGATGGGGCATCCACAACCTCTCTGGGCAGCCTTTTCCAGCACCTCACCACTCTCTCCGTAAATAACTTCCCCTGGCATCCAACCTAAATCTCCCCTCCTTCAACTTCAAGCCATTTCCCCTTGTCCTGCACTTATCAACCCTTTCAAAGAGTCGATTCCCCTCCTGTTTGTAGGCTCCCTTTAGGTATTGAAAGGTTGCAATGGGGTCACCCTGCAGCCTTCTTTTCTCCAGGCTGAACAAGCCCAGCTCCCTCAGCCTGTCTTCATAGGGGAGGTGCTCCAGTCCCCTGATCATCTTCATGGCCCTTCTCTGGACCCTCTCCAACAAAGAGGGTCAATAGATATTTCAGTGTAAAGATTAATTCTTTAACTGAGAGTAAAAAAAAAAATCAGTTGTCCATGTAATTTTCTTATTAACACATGTGTAATGAGAGCAAGCCTTGCTGAATTACGTATTATGACTTCTTTCTAATTTTTTTTCTTCTCCTCTAGTCCATATTTGTTTTATCATCCAAAAGAGTATTGGGCTGTGAAGGTAGGTGCTCAAAAATTAGGAAGAGTTGGAATAAATGTGTGAATTTCCTGGCTTATCTATTGCATAGCTTTCAAATGCATACATGTTGGCTGTTCTGAATATACTGCTTCTCTAGAAGTTGTAGTCTGTATGACAGTGGTTTGTCTGTGCTCATGTTGGCACTGATCTGGCCATACAGGTGTTTTCACATAACACCTGTTATTAGGTTTCTGTTTTTTAGTATTTAATAAATGAAACATTAATGTTACTTTATTGATTGAAAAGAACCCTGAACGTTACTACTACTAGTTGAGCTGTGTGTTGAAAGAGGAAGCTGCCCTATAGAAGCAATGCTGTTGGGCTCAGTGGGTATGCATTGGGTGGTGTAGTTAATACTGCATGGCAGTGTGGGTTCTTACATTATCTGGGTGCACTGCTATCCTTAGCAGTATACTCTTGATGCACTATCATGGACATGATTGTACACTAGCTCGTATGATGGTACAAGGTTGTGGATAGTTACGTTGTTCCTCCACTACTTCACTTTGTTCCCATAGATCCTTGTCAGTGATCCCACCATGTGTTGCATGAAATTCACAGAATCACAGAGTTGCAGGGGTTGGAAGAGACCTCAAGAGATTGTTGAATCCAACCCTCTGCCAAATCAAGTGCCCTACAATAAGGTCACACAGGTAGGCATCAAGACAGTTCTTAGTATCTCCTTAGGAGGAGACTCCACAACCTCTCTAGGAAGCCTGTTCCAGTGCTCCATCACCCTTACTGTAAAGGAGTTCTTCTGCATGTTTGTATGGAACTTCTTGTGTTTAATTTTTAGGCCATTACTTCTTGTCCTATTGCTATGCACCACTGAGAAGAGCCCAGCCTTGTCCATTTACTTCCCACCTCCCTTTAGATATTTATAAATATTAATCAGATTCCTCCTTAGTCTTCCCCAGGCTGAACAGACCCAGGTTATTCAGCCTTTCCTCATATCAAAGATGCTTCAGGCAAGTTCAGGGTCCTTGGAATCAAGAGGAGGATTCTGAGAGCAGCAGTTAGTGTGGATGTTGCAGATGCTTGAGGGTAGAGGAAGTCATGGCTCTGGAGTAGGTGTGGGGTGACACACTGAGTGTCGGTCTGCCTCAGCCCTGGAGAAAAAGAAAAGTAATTATTTGGCCCAGTGTCAAGAAAGACAAGACTTTTTAAATTGTGCTGTGATCAAATATGTATTTTAAGTACTCTTCAAATCATGAAGTCTTATCTTGTTTAAACCCTGATTTAAGCCAAGCTTCTTCGGAGGGCATATTCCTTAGTTTCCCTTTGTCTCTCCTGACTTGCCTTCCTCCACATCTAAGCACCATCTGCTCTTGTGAA